GTTGCTCGTACCTCCATGATCCATGCGGCTGCTCCCCATTTCCTGTGGCCGTTTGCGGTCCGATACGCCGCGCATCAGCTCAACCTCTGGCCCCGTGTCTCTGCTCCAGAGACCTCGCCCACACTCCGTTGGACGGGACAGCCTGGTGATGCGTCGTCGTTTCGGGTCTGGGGCGCGCTCTCCCTTGTTCGCGATACCAAAGCGAGCAAGCTCTCCCCTCGCACTCTCCGCTGTGTCTTCCTGGGCTTCCCCACCGACGCTCCACCCTGGCAGTTCTACCACCCTGCCTCGCGTCGTGTTCTGTCCTCTCAGGATGTCACCTTTGACGAGTCGGTCTGTTACTACCGACTTCACCCGCACGCGTCCCACCCGGTCCCTCTCGCACCTCTCTTCCTGGTACCAGTCCCCCCCCCGGTAGACCCCCTTCCCCCACAGGGTCCTGCTCCCTCAGGTGTGTCCCAGGTAGACCCACCCCCCTTGGATGAGCCAGTTGAGATCTCTTCTGACTCCTCTGACTCACCTGAGGGGGGTGACGCCGTCGCCGACGACACGGCGACCACTCGCCGCACTCCTCGCTTGGAGACCCCCCTGGGTTTCCCGCCACGGCCGTCTTCGCCGCCTCTGCAGCCTGCTGCTGTGGACACTGGAGCAGAGACTGAGGGTACTGAGCCTTGGGGTGCTGGGACTGAGGGTACTGAGCCTGGGGGTGCTGGGACTGAGGGTACTGAGCCTGGGGGTGCTGGGACTGAGGGTACTGGGCCTGAGGGTGCTGCGACTGAGGGTACTGAGCCTGCGAGTGCTGAGACCGAGGGTGCTGCCTCTGGGGGTGCTTCGAGTTCGAGTGCTGACTCTGGGGGTGCTGCGAGTCCTTCTGGTGTTGGTGTCGTCGGAGCTCCTACCGGAGGACCTGGAGCTACTGGTGCTGGAGGTACTGGAGGTACTGCTGGTGCTAGAGGTCCTGGAGGTGCTGCTGGTGCTGGAGGTCTTGGAGGTGCTGGAGGTACTGGAGGTGCTGCTGGTGCTGGAGGTCGGGGAGCTGCAGGTGCTGCTGGTCCTGGTGGAGCTGCTGGTGCTGGAGGTACTGGAGGTGCTGCTGGTGCTGGAGGTCGTGGAGCTGCTGGTGCTGGAGGTACTGGAGGTACTGCTGGTGCTGGAGGTCGTGGAGCTGCTAGAGCTGCTGGTGCTGGAGGCGCCGAAGCTGCTGGGGCTGGAGGTGCTGGAGGTGCTGGAGGTCCTGGTGGAGCTACTGGTGCTCTTCGCCACCTTCTCAGTCTTCAGCCAGGTGCTACTGGCTTCCCTGTGGCAGGTACTACTCCTCCGTTGCTGTGTCCACCGGCGGACCAGTCACAGCCGCCGCTGCTACCACACTCCCCACTGCCTGCTCCTGCTCCTTACACTGCGGTGTCAGAGTCCCTGACTGAGCGTCGAGAGCCTGAGACTCGTGCTTCCACCCCTGAGCGTCGAGAGCCTGAGTCTAGCTTTGGCCTTGAGCCTGAGCCTAGAGCTGCTGTCCGTGCTCGTGTTCCTCGTGTTCGTCGTCAGCGTGCTCCGGCTGTCCCCGACACTCACGATATGACACTCCGTCCTTCCTCTGTTCCTCAGCGTGTTGTCCTACCGTTACCTCCTGCGTCTTCTTTGCCTGACGTTGCTGACCCTCCGTCTGACCTTACTCGTGCGTCCAGTCCGACTGTTACTCGCCTTCTTGCTACGGTTGTGACGGACCCTACGTTCTCGTCTCCTGCTGCGTCTGCCCTAGTAGCTGAGCTCGTTGACTTTGCTGCTGTGTACCGCCTAGACTACCTTGCGAGTCTTGTCTCTGACCCTGTCCCTGCCTGTCCTCCGTCCGTCGGGGGTGAGACTGCTCTTGGCTGCACTGCCCTTGGCTGTGACGTTCTTGAGGACAGACAGGAGGAGTTGGAGTGCCTTGCTGCCGCTTCACCCCATCACGCGACCATGCTGCTTGCCCCTGAAGGAGACCCGGATGCACTTGACATCCCCACCCCGCACTCCTACAGGGAGGCGATTTCGGGTGAGTACTCCTCTCAGTGGCAGACAGCCATGGACGCAGAGATGGCTTCCTGGAAGTCCACAGGCACCTACGTCGACGAGGTTCCCCCATCTGGGGCGAACATCGTCAGTGGCATGTGGATTTTCAGGGTGAAGCGGCCGCCGGGTTCTCCGCCTGCCTTCAAGGCACGTTACGTTGCTCGAGGCTTCAGTCAGCGTGAGGGGGTCGACTTCTTTCAGACCTTCTCCCCCACCCCGAAGATGACCACTCTTCGGGTGTTGCTACACGTTGCAGCTCAGCGTGACTACGAGCTGCACTCCCTCGACTTCTCGACAGCTTTCTTGCAGGGTAGCCTTCACGAGGCCATCTGGTTGCGCCGTCCACAGGGTTTCACTGGGTCGTTTCCTGCGGGTACCCAGTGGAGCCTACGGCGACCAGTGTACGTCCTGCGTCAGGCGCCCCGTGAGTGGCACGAAACACTGAGGACGACACTTGCGGCTCTTGGGTTTGCTCCTTCGACTGCTGACCCGTCGCTGTTTCTACGCACCGACACTACTCTGCCGCCGTTCTACATCCTCGTGTACGTCGACGGCTTGGTTTTTGCTACTGCTGACACTGAGGCACTGACCCTAGTGAAGGCGGAGCTGCAGGAGAGACACACCTGCACTGACCTGGGTGAGCTGCGGAGCTATCTTGGCTTGCAGATCACCCGGGAGAGAGCACGGCGCACCATCACCCTGACTCAGTCACACATGGTGCACCAGGTCCTTCAGCGCTTCTGCTTCACGTACTCCTCGCCACAGCCCACTCCTCTGGCTACCGGCCACTCGCTCTCAGCTCCACCTTCGGACGAGTCCGTAGAGCCGAGTGGTCCGTACCCAGAGCTTGTGGGCTGCCTCATGTACCTGATGACGTGCACACGACCTGACCTCGCGTATCCTCTCAGCCTTCTGGCTCGCTACGTGGCACCCGGCAGGCACCGAAAGGTGCACTTTGATGCTGCGAAGAGGGTACTGCGTTACTTGTGCAGCACATCGGGCATGGGGCTCGTGCTTGGAGGACGGGGTCCTGTGGTCCTCACAGGACACTCTGACGCTTCTTGGGCTGACGACCAGGCGACTCAGCGTTTGTCACAGGGCTACACCTTCAGTCTTGGCGCTGGTTCTGTCTCGTGGAGGTCCACTCGTTCTTCTTCTGTGCTTGGTTCCAGCTGTGAGGCCGAGATCTACGCTGGGGCCATGGCTGCACAGGAGCTCCGTTGGCTGACCTACCTACTGACCGACTTGGGGGAGCGGCCTCGTTCTCCTCCAGTTCTGTACGTCGACAACAAGGCAATGCTTGCCTTGTGTCGCGAACAGAGACTGGAGCACAGAACGAAGCACATTGCTCTGCGCTACTTCCTTGCGCGTGAGCTGCAGCAGCGTGGTCAGCTGCGCCTTGCTTTCGTGGCCTCTCGGGCCAACACTGCTGATGTCTTCACCAAGGCCCTTGCGGCTGGTGATCATCAGCGTTTCTGCACTGCTCTTGGGCTTGTGCCCACTCTGCCTCATCTGCTGGTTGCTTGACTTGCTCTTGTTGTACACTGCTATATATCTTTATACCTGCATGTTTCCTCTTGCTAGGTTGTGATCTGTGTACTGCCTTGCTCTTATAAATCTGCATGTGAACTGGCCTTGTGGCTGCCTGCTTGTGCTCAGATTGTGTGGTGTCCTTGAGATCCACCCTGGGCTTTGCCTTGCTTGTTCTCTTGCTTGACTGGTCTTGTGACCACTGTTAGGCTTGGCTATCCCCTACTTCACCTATGGGGGTGTGTCAAAACATATTGTTCTGCTTATTTCACTCTAGGTTGTGTAGGGTTCTTTCCTTAGAGGGTACAGCAATCTCTCTCGATAGTCCTTGTACCCCCCCCTTACCTAATCGAATTCACTCATCTAGCTAGTAACTCTAACAAAGTGTTCTCAAAAACAGATTATTACCTAAGAAGTTAAACGGTTCAGTATCCTACATATTACTCAACGTTTTCCTAACTGCTTACAAGTGAACACTGAATTACCTGTACCTATATTTTTCAAGCCCAGACATTTGCACAATGCCCGCGGTGGAGAAACTCACGTTCTGTTCACGTAGGGACCAACCTATCCATTCACCTCGCCACGTCAGTCTCTCCCGCCAAGTCTTAGGGCGGGTCCAGCACGTACGTTTTCCGTACATTACAGTTCATCCAGTGCGACAATCTGTATTGCGTCACGGTTCAAAACGGTGCAGTTGCAAAACCGCTGTGCACCGCCTGATATCTACCCAAACCACTACGAATGAACTGCATAGGACCTGTAAACGTACGTGCTGGACCCGCCCTTAGTGCTGTGGTCTTGCGCTGCGGACGAGCGCCTACATAGCCCGCATGGGTGCTTTACTCAAACCTCCGCGCCCCTGCAAGCATTTCCCCGTGCTGTCCTTCCCCATCTTACTTTCTCCGCGCCCCTAGCTTCATGCTGGAAAATTCTCCAACCCGATGCTCCCTAGATATTTGAAGGACCAGGCTCCTCCCTCCATGTATGACCTAGATATGTATTACATCTCACTCGATGTGACATTTTGGCATTTTTGGCAGAGAACGTCAGTTTCGTTTATGCCTAGCATAGGATGCGTTTTACCGTGTTAGGTGCTTGTGCAGCGACGTAAGGGACGGGTGCTCCTAAGCGGTTCCTTTGTTCTTGCACCGTTTGGGCTTTTGCTTTCTAGATCGGGATCCTAAGCGTTCTTCTTGCTTGACACGGATTTTGCTTTGTTAGAATGTTAGTCATGTTCACGTCAAATACAAAGTTAATAGATGCTTAAGAATCATATTCTCGTCTCGAAATAATTCTAGCCTTATTTTTTCTGTGTGAGTCTCACTCTTGTTTCGAAGCTGATCGCAACGCAAAACTATTTTTGCGAACGTTTTAGGTCAAGCTTACGGGAAATTTAGTTTGCCATTTTCCTGATCAACGTCATGTCGACACCTTCAGCAGAAGCGACTAAAACGAGCATCGAAGAATCACCAGATGTAGCTGCTCCTGCCGCTCCTCCTGCACCTGTAAATGCGTCCGTAGACCCTCCTGAAGAGAGCGCCGAGCAGTTACCGTCAGAAACCATAGGCGAAGCTGACGGAACCACGAAAGCTGGCGAAACCGGAGAAGTTAGCGAAACCGGCGAAATCGCGAAAGCTGGTGAAGCCGGCGAAAGCGAGCAAGCTGCCGGGGCGGAGGAAGAGGAGGAATACCACAGCGATCTTGAGGATGACGTGGAATTAGTTCCGAGACGACGCGGCGCGAGCGATGATGAGGGTGAAGATGGAGAGGAGGGCGATGAGGAGGGGTTTTTGGATGGTGCGGAGGGGGAAGGAGGGGAAGATTACGAGGAAGCGTATGAAGAGGCGGAAGAATTGGAGGGTCTTGATGATGGGGCAGGCGGTTACGCGGAAGAAGATGCTCGTCTCGGCGCGGCTGACGTGGCAAGTTCTGACGGGGAGATGCCAGGGTTTGGTGACGTGGCGGCAGCAGGAGGGGCAGCATCAGGTCCGGAAGTGGTCAAGGTAATTGGCGCGGAGGGGACAGACCGGCCGGGGGGGGAGGTACAAGGCGCGGAAGCGGAGAGTACAGCGGAGGGCCAGGGCGGAGCAGCGGAAGGGGCTTCGGCGGAAGGGGCTGGTGTGGAAGGTGGTGCCGCGGAAGGGGATGCTGCGGAAGGAGCAGCGGAAGGAGAAGCGGAAGCGGAGGTGAAGAAGGAAGCAGAGCCGTTTGTGGTGCCGACTTCTGGCGCGTTCTACATGCATGATGATCGCTTCGGCGAAGGCCAAGGCGGAGGTCGATCCAGGTAAGCCCGTTGTCTTGATCTTCAGTCGCGTCATCCGGCGCGATGCGATTTACATGCAATGATCTCTCCGGTGACGGCCCAGGCGGTATGGATTTTTGTCGTACCTGTTGGATCTGCTGTTTTAAATTTCGGGCTATATGTGGTGTGTCTGAGTACCCAAGTGCTCGGATCACGATCTTGTATCCTGTTGCTCGAATCCGTCTAGATTCGTGTAACATGCCCGGCCCGTCGTTGAATACGTATTCAACTATGAGGGCCTTAGCTGGAATGCACGGGGTGAACAGCGGGATCAAGGAAAGAAAGGAACATCAAACAAAAAAATCGGGCGTCTCAGAATTTAGGGTTGCGTGTACATGGGTCTCTGTGCTTAGGGTTACATATCGAGCGAGCGTTCAGCGCGCTTGCTCGCCAGCCCCGCGCGTTAAGCTGCTTGCAGGGTGACTCGGCAATTAAGCTTGCGATTTGAAGCTCTTACACAATCGTTGAGACGAATGTTGAGGCAGGTCATATAAGATGCATGTACAACTGGAAGCGCAGTCTGCTGATAGACGATTCAGATCATTCGGACGATACATGGTTTCAGATAGTTAGGCCTTATTGTCTGAAGTAGTAAGCAAGAAGTTTTCCTGGCCCGTTGTTTTGCCTGTTTCCGGTCTGAAATTCTCTCGCGCAGGGGCGGCAGGGGCGGGCGTCGGCTGTGGGAGTCCGGGCGGGAGGAGAAGAAGTGGAAGCATGATCTGTTTGAGGAGCTGGAGCAGGAGGAGAGAAACGGGTTCAGGGAGCAGGGCGGGTGGGAGCAGCAGCAGTTCTCGGTGAGATGAGGGGGTTAGGAGTGTGGGCTGTGTGCGAATACTATACTTCATTGGAAACACAATCGGTTTGAGGGGCTGGAGCAGGAGGAGAGTAACGGGGTTCAGGGGGTGGGAGCAGCAGCAGTACCCGGTGAGATGCGGGGGTAGGAGTGTGGGTGGGTTGTGTGTTATGTCTAGATTTCCGATAAATTGTTTTCAGGAAGTAGGGGAAGCGCGATTTGTTTGGGGAGCTGGAGCAGGAGGAGAGCAACGGGTACAGGGAGCAGGGCGGGTGGGAGCAACAGCAGTACTTGGTGAGATGAGGGGGGTGGGGTGTGGGCTGTAGAGAAAATCTGGTGTGGGATGGAGTGGGTTGGTGCGTGTAGTTCTGCAGTAGAGGGTTTAGCACGTTATCTAATATCTACGGTCGTTTCAAAGGCGTATGCACTGTACCCTGGGAGGAGCACTGCTTTTCTTATGCGTATGTAACCGTTTTCGTAATTTCCCTCATCTCCTGCTCCTTCTTCACGCCCCTTTTCTTCACACTCTGTCATGCCCCTCCCCCCTCCCGCCTCCCCCCTCTTCTTCCACCCCCGCGCGCCCCTCCCGCGTTTCCGCTTCCCGAATCCCTACTGCAGGGGCGCGGAGGCCGCCGCGGCAGGAGGGGGGGCAGGGGCGGCTTCTTTGGCGGAGAAGGGGGTGGATGGCCGCGAGGAGGGGGAGGGGGAGGCGGAGGCGGAGGGAGGGGTCGTGGCAGAGGCAGGTATGTTGGCTGCAGCTTGAAACGACAAGTATTTAGTTCCGATTCATTTTGTTGTCTACAGGGACAGATGCGTGCGATTCAGATCCGCACCCATCACACCAGCGTTTCGTTTTGATTTGTTTTGGCACGTGCTAAACGGTAAACTCCTTACAATGAGCAAGCTACGTTTCCTTTAAGTTGCTAGCTTGATGCGAAAACACCACTGAATCGACTCAAAACACACCAGTGACTTTTACTCAAAGCGCATATTGTCAGTAGCTTCAGTGTCAACGCTGCTGCTACTCCTGCTGCCGAATCTCGTGTTTACAACCAACGTGCAAGCTTACCTGTTCCACCCCACTCTACCCCACCCATCCTTCCCCTCGTCTTTCTTCGTACCAGGGGTGCGTACGGCACAGGAGACCCTTACTTTGCTGCTGCACCACAGCAAGGGGAGGGCGTGGCAGGAGCAGCAGCAGCAGGAAGAGGAGTGGCAGGAGCGGTGGGTGGTGGTGCTGCTGCTTCTGGTACTGCTGGTGCTGCTGGTGGTGTTAGTGGTGCTCCAAGCGCGTGGCGTGGCGTTATGGGGTCGGCACCAGCAGCTGCCCCCGTCCCCGGTACTGGCATCCTCGCTAGCTCTCCCTACGCTCCGTCTGCATCATCAGCAGCAGCTGCAGCAGGGGCAGGAGCAGGGGCAGGAGCAGGGGGAGCAGGCATCGTGTCAAATCTGACGCAGGGGATAGGGGCTATGTCAGTAACCCCCGCTGGAGCATCTGCTGCTGCCTCAAGTGCAGAAGGCACAGGGGCAGGAGGGGTAGGATGGCAGGACATGGGTGCGGAAGGAAGGGGAGGCGGGGGCGGGAGGGGGGGCGTAGCAGCAGGTTTGGGAATGGGGGGGCGCGGGAGAGGCGGGAGAAGGGGGAGGGGGGGACGAGGGTATATGGGGACGGGTTCTGGTGCGGGGGCAGGGGGAGGGGGGGCGGAAGGAGGGGGGGATTCCGGAAGTTTTGCAGCTGTGGGGGGAGGAGTAGGGGGAGGGGCGGCAGCAGGAACGGCAGCTGGTGCTACTGCAGCAGCATCAGCCCCTGGAGGTCATGGTCTGCTACAGCCGGTTAACGCTACTGCTGCTGCAGCAGCTGCTTCTGCTACAGCCGCTACAGCTGCTACAGCTGCGGCTGCTATAGCCGTGGCTCCTACCGGTTGGGGTAATTCCACCCCCCAAGGTACGGCCCAAGGGACGGTAGCAGGGGCAGGGGGGTTTGGAGGAGGAGTAGCAGCAGCAGGAGTGGGAGCGGCAGGGGGAAGGGTATCAGGTGTGGTGGTTTCAGGACCGGCAGGGGGCACGGGAGAAGGAATGGGAGGAGGTGGAGGAGTAGGAGGAGGAGCAGGAGGAGCAGTCAGAGGGAGGGGGTATGGTGGCGGTTACGAAGGGAGGGGAGGTAGAGGAGGGAGAGGAGGGAGAGGGGGGCGAGGAGGAGGGTATAGGTACTTGGGTGGGCAAGGCATTGGGGGGGATGTTGGGGGGGGCTGGGCTGGGGGAGGGGGAACGCAGGGGGTGACAGGAGGGGGTGTTTCCGGCGGGCGAGGGCAGGAGCATTATAACTGGCAGCAGCAGCAGCAGCAGCAGCAGCAGCCGCAGCAGCAGCAGCCACAGCAGCAAAAGAAACTGACAGCGGTCGGGGTGCGTGATTTTGTGCCTGCCAGCCAGCAACAGCAGCAGCAGCAGCAGCAGCAGCAGCAGCAGCAGCAGCAGCAGCAGCAGCAGCAGCAGCAACCGCAGCAATATTACCATCAGCAGCAGCAGCAGCAGCAACAGCAGCATTACTACCAGCAACAGCACTATCAACAGCAGCAGCAGCACTACCAGCAGCAGCAGGCGCGGTGGCAGCAGCCGCGATCCCAGGTTGCTTCTGGTGCAAATGGGACTGATGCAGGGGGAGGTACATATGGGGAAGGCTCTACCCAGGCGGGAGCAGTAGGGGCGGCAGACGGATCGGGAGTGAAGGGAGTAGATGGGGTTTCAGGGGGAGGAGAAGCAGGAGGAGCAGCAGCAGCTTCAGCTGAGAATGGAGCCGGAGGTGGTGGTGATGTAGTGAAAACGAGCACGGGTGCAGCTGTGGCAGCAGCGGAAGGGGCAGGAGCAGGAGGAGGAGGAGGAGGAGGAGGAGGGGGAGGAGCAGCAGCAGCAGCGGTGCCAGGAGCAGCAGCAGAAGGAGGAGCAGGGGGAGCAGCACAGGCAGGGGCACAGGCAGGAGCAACAGCAGTGGGGTATGCGGATCAGGTTGGTAGCAGCAGCAGCACTGGTGGATTAGACGTAACTGCTGATATGCATCAAAACGCAGGGATGGGAGCAGGGATGGGTGGAGGCATGGGCGCAGGTATGGGCGCAGGGATGATGGTACTGGGGATGGATGGATCAACCATGCATATGGACGGGGGAGTGGCAATGGGGGGCCAGGCCATGCAGAGTGGGGCAATGCAGGGAGGGGCGATGACTGCAGGAGGAATGGGAGGAGCGGCAGGGAGTATGATGAGAGTGAGCGCCCCGGATTACACGCCCAAGGGCATGCAGATGCAGCAGATGCAGTATGGGCAGCAGCAGCAGCCAGGAGGGGCGGCGGCGGCGGCAGCAGCGGCTGCTGCAGCGGCGATGGGCATGGCGATGCCGGCCTATTCCATGGGGCAGGCGCCGCACTATGCGTACGCGAGTACTGAGGTCACTTGGTGAGTTTTCTATATGGGAGTGCTTAACGAGTGAGCGGCGATGGGCATGGCAATGCCGGCGTATTCCATGGGGCAGGCGCCGCACTATGCCTATGCGAGCACCGAGGTCACTTGGTGAGTTTTTTATAGTGGGGTTGTGCTGTGGATTGTATGGGGAATGAGCAGAGATGGGCATGGCGATGCCGGCCTATTCGATGGGGCAGGCGCCGCACTATGCTTATGCAAGCACTGAAATCACTTGGTGAGTATCTTCTAGTGGGGTTGTGCTGTAGAGTGCTTGACGAATGAGCAGAGATGGGCATGGCGGCCATGCCGGCGTATCTCATGGGGCAGGCGTTGCACGATGCTTATGCGAGCACGGAGTTCAGTTGGTGAGTTTATAGCACGGTTGTGCTGTAGATTTTTGAGTCGACTCAAAAATAGGTTTATAGCACGGTTGTGCTGTAGATTTTTTAGTCGACTCAAAAATAGGTTTATAGCACGGTTGTGTAGAGTATGTGCCAGTGGGCACAGGGCGGTGCAGCTAGCAAGGGGGGGGGGGGGGGGTACGGGCAGCCGTTCATAGCCGTGGTGGATCCCTCAATGCGCTCTAGCTAGCATTCCACTCACTCGCCCACTCACTCGCCCACTCACTCCCACACTCTCTCACCCTATCCCTCTCCCCCTCATCCCCCCCCTCCCCCATCCTCCCCCTCAACCCCCCTCCCCACAGGGTGCCAGTGCTGACGCCAGGGGGAGTGGGAGCGGCGCAGCTAGCAGCGGGGGGATACGGGCAGCCGTTCATAGCAGCAGGGAATTGCACAGTGCAGGCTAGCTAGCCCTTCCTCCTCCCCCCGCTACTCACTCACCCACTCACTCCCACACTCTCGCACCCCACCTCACCCTCTTTCCCAAACCGCACCTCTCCACCCCCCTCCTCCCTCCCCACAGGGTGCCAGTGCTGACGCCAGGGGGAGTGGGAGCGGCGCAGCTAGCAGCGGGGGGATACGGGCAGCCGTTTATAGCAGCAGTGGACCCATCCAACCCCACTGCCGCCCTCTACTATGCGCCTGCTTCCGCTGCTGGGCAGCAGGCTGCTGTCTACGCCGCTGGGGGCAGGTGAGAGTTGTTTAACTGGGTTGTGGGACAGGGGGGGAAGGGTTTGGGGGGGAGGGTGGGGAGGTGAGGAAGGGAGGAAGGGAGGGAGGGGGTGGAGTAAGTGAGGGAAAGGGGGAAGTGATGAAGAGGGGGAGAGGGAGGGAAGGGGGCTACGGGCAGGCGTTCATAGCAGCAGTGGGCCCTGTCCAACCCCACTTCTGAATGTTGCAGAGTGGCCCTGTCCAGTGAGAATTCTCAAAAACACTCTGCAACATCGTGGGCCCTGTCCAACCCCACTTCCGCGCTCTACTACCCCCCTGCCTCTGCTGCTGGGCAGCAGGGGCTGTCTATGCTGCTGGGGGCAGGTGGGTCCGAGGCTTGTGGGGAATGAACGGGGTGTGTTATTGAAATGAACGGGGTTGTGGCGGCAACAGGTTGCTGTCTATGCTGCTGGGGGCAGGTGAGGCGCTTTGAGGAGGGAAAAGGGAGAGGGGGATGGGAGGGGGGGCAGGGAGGGGGGGCAGGGAGGGGGGCCAGGGAGGGGGGGGGGCGGTGGGGGCAGGTGAGGGCTGAGGCTTGTGTATAAGGTAGAAAGAAAAGTGGATGCTTATTTGGGCAAATCTGCTGCACACCGCCCGCTACACATGGGTTGTAAGAATAGTACATAAAACTAGAGGATGCTGGCATTGCCTTAAGTGTCTCATAGCTAGCAGACCATATCCATCAATCTCCCCTTCCTTTTCTCCCTTGTCCCCCTCGCACCCCTCTTCCTCTTGCCCTTCTTCTCTCCTGTTCCGTGCTCCCTGCTGTCGCCCATGCCATCAGTGCACCTGTGGACATCTCAGCCTCGATCGCCTCTGCTGCAGCTCTCTGGAAACCCCCACGTTGACTTTTGAGTCGACTCAAAAGTCAACTCTTCCTTCCTCCTCTTGCTCCACGTCTTTTCATGTATGTTCCGTGCTCTCTGTGGTTGCCCATGCCATGCCATCAGTGCACCTGTGGACATCTCAGCATCGATCGCCTCTGCTGCAGCTCTCTGGAAACCGCCACAGCAGCAGCAGCTGCCATCCGCCACAGGTGTGTGTGTGTGTGTGTGTGTGTGTGTGTGTGTGTGTGTGTGTGTGTGTGTGTTTTCGACTGCCATGCGTCTGTGTATTTTGTGTTCAGGCATGCCCTTCACATCAAAGTTTTGTGAAACAGTTGACGCACTCAAAAAAGGCCTTCGATGTTCCAGTCTTTCTTTTCCCTCCTCTGACTTTTGAGGCACCTCAAAAAAGGCCTTTGATGTTCCAGTCTTTCTTTTTCCTCCTCTGCTATCTTTATCTTTTCCTCCGGTTGACTCCCCTCCTTGTTCCCGCGCTCCCCTCTCTACCTACCTGCCAGTCACAGAAGTGCTTCCTGGTGACCAGGAGTACCACTCATCGCAGCAGCAGTGATTTTTTAGCATCAATGATTCCAGCAGCAGTCGCAATTCCAGCAGCAACAGCTGCTTCAGCTTACAGCAGCAGAGATCCCTCCCTGATATCATATGAGGTGGCTTTTACATTGACATTCAAGGTAGCAGCACCTGCGATTTCAGTTCCTCTTGAGGCTCCCATTGTTGGGACCGGAAATCCCAACACCTGTTGCATGCAGCACCACCAGCGCCGTGTGACTGAGCAGCGTTTTCTTTCCCGTGAACAGCCCAGCCTCAACCCGATGAAGAGACTCCAGTGCAGCAGATGCCATGCCATGCCAGTATGTGTTGACGTGAATGACGTGATTCTGATACTGAGCCAAGAGATTTTCTGTGGACATTTGCGTGTGGGTCAGTCAGACCCGATGGGATTTGGAGGGGCATGCTCGAGGGGTTTTGTTGAATTCTGAAAAACGGCTCCAGGGATGATTGTGTTTGGATGTGTTCGGAGGTGTTGAAGGTGGAAGTTGAGGGGTGGCGGTGGGAGTGGAGGGGGATGGGTTTCTGAATCAGAGATGGAACGCAGGTGGCAATCGTTGGAGTGGGCGGATTGGCTGTGACAATACGCTGTGATGAGATGGGATGGGAGATGCATATGGATGGGATGTGACTGGATGGGATAGGATCAGGCCTCTTGATATAAGGGTGAATCACCCTTATGACCCTTACTATAAGGGTGTGTTCTGATTCGGACCCTTACTTTACAAAGTGGATTTTTTTCTGACACTTACAGGAAAAAGTGAATATGTTTAGGACCCTGATATTTCAGAGTGAAGTGGTGCAGTCGCACTGATCGGGAACATACATCCTCCTCAAAAAGTAAAGTACTAGCTCGAAGAAACCGAGTCATATGGACAACTTTGCCCACCAAATGCCTCCCACAAGTATCGATATCGCGTCCCATTCACTAAAAGACCCATTGTGCTAAGTCGTCACGCCTAAAATCTACTAGTTATTTTACATGAAAAGTTATAGTTTGGTTTAAACCCTTACAAAAAAGAGTGGTGCTTGCCTGGTACCCTTACAGAAAGAGTGAAAGCAGCTGGTTACCCTTATGAGAAAGACTGGTTCAAATCCTATCCAGAGGCCTGGATAGGATAGAGCGGTGGGATGGTATGGGATTGAAGAAGGTTATGACTTGATGATTGACATGAAAAGTCTCATTCGAGTGGAAAGTGTGGGTTCTCAACCTGCTACTCCAGGCTGTGTTGGTTTGGGATTAGGAGGGAATCAGGTCGGGACTCGAGACAGGACTTGGGTTCGCAGAGGTGGTGTTTTAGGTAACGCTACTACCGCGGCAGTAGGTAGTTTCAGTGTGGGGGTGTTAGAGTTGGTGATAGAAGTCTCTTGAAAACTACTTGAGCTGTGCATCTGCCTGGTTGGCTGCATGCAATGTGATAAACTCACCTCGCCTACCTCACCCCACTGCACTGGGTGTGATAGCGATGAACTTCGGGGGGAGATCAGGTTGTTGGCATTCTTGTGGGTTGGAGTTGGGGCTGTGGTCATGCATGTGGACTTACGTAACAGTACCAAATGCTGTAACTACCATAGCCCTGCTCTGTGTGATAAGAGGGGGGGAGGGACGGAGCCTCTGTTGAATTGTATTTGCATACCTTATAACTGCCTACAGTTAGCTAGTGTACTAGATTAGTTATTAGATACCAACTGCTGGTGGTGTACCCTTTCCCCTTCCCCTTCTTCCTATTTGTACTCCCAATCTCATAATGAAACTCTCTCTTTTGGCCAACCTAAACTCCCTCGATAACCATCTCACTATGCTACTCTCCCTCCAAGCTCCTAATCTCCGAAGTTCTTATCTCAACAGCCTCTTGTACGGTATTTCTGAGGCCTGGATTGTGTCTGAGGGCTGAGTTGCTGCCCCCCTCAAAATCCATGGAGCCAGGGGTTTTTTTATCAGAGTACCGTAAATTACTCTGTTTCTCTGGAAATCAGAGTGGTTTTTAGGGGGTCACTCTGACGTGTCTGGGTAATTTTTTTGGAAGATAAGTTTTCTCTGATTTATCAGGGTTCTGATTTTAGCTACTCTGAGAGACAAGTGTATATTTTTAGCGAATGTATTTTTCTCTGTATAGTGTAAAGGCATTTCGACCGAGCCCCCCCCCCAATTGGTGGAAGATGGGTGTAAGGAAAATTCCTTTTCCTTACTTCGCATCCCTGCTCAACGCGTACAGCACTGTAGCACCATAGTCAGCACCGTTACCACTCGCCACCCTCGCATCGACAATCCGCCCGCCACCTTCACACATCGCACCCCGACCTCACGGCTCGGCGGGTAACCCGCGCTCCGGGCCTCCGCTTCGACACTTTTTCCCAACCTCATGTCAAACACTATATGTGTTATTGTTGTGTAGGCTATAGTGGGTTAGCCTTTAGGGGGTACACAAAGCTAGGGTTCACTACTTGTACTCCAAATTTTCATAGTTCAACACTTCTCATTCTTGACATGGCATTAGAGCTTAGGTTCTAGACCTAGGACTCACCTAAGGGCCCACCGTTAGAAGCGCCCTCGAGCGCCTTATCGTCCTAGCGCCCTCGAGCGCCTTATCGTCCTAGCGCCCTCGAGCGCCGTTCTTCTAGTGCGCCCTCGTGCGCCTCGTCTTCTCCTGCTGCCTATGCGCGGCTCGCTAGTGCCGCGCGCGGCCTTTTTTTTTCCCGTGCGTCGCCCCCTAGCAGCCCGTGCGCGGCCGTTTCTGAGCGCGCGCCGCCCGTTAGCCGCCAACGCCGCCACGAGCAGCTCGTCGACCGGCCCTCCTGGCCGCGTGTAGCCCGCTAGCGACTGGCAGCCCCGCCCGTAGGCCGCTGCGACGCCCTCTCTAGGCCGCCCGCGCGCTAGTAAGGCCCACGAGCGGCCACGGCCCACCCGCTACAGCCGCCCACGCGCACGCCCCCAGGCGCGCACCGCCGCGTAGCCCAGACCGAGCCGAGCCGCACAGCCCGAACCGAGCCGCGCCGCCCGAACCGAGCCGCGCCGCCCGAACCGAGCCGCGCTGCCCTAGCCGAGCCGCGCCGCCCGAACCGAGCCGCGCCGCCCTAGCCGAGCCGCGCCGCCCTACTGTGCCCCACCTGCAGCAACTCCTGTTCCTGTTCCTACTGTACTACTGCTACTACTGCTACTGTTCCTACTGCCACTATGGCCACCCCATCCATTCTCACCTTTGACGCTGAGGGTCACCCGATTAAGTTTGAGGTGTGGTTAGATGACCTTCACCTGTTCCTCCAGATCACTGCCAAGGACGATGTCTCCCTGTATGACCATACGTCAGGCGCTGCTCCCGCGCCTCCAGCTACTGCTGACAGTGCTGCTCGCTCCCAGTGGCAGACCCGTGATGCACACGCTCGCCTAGCCGTTCGCAGTCACCTACCGTTAGATGAGCGCGAGCACTTCGGACAGCATAAGACCGCCAAGGAGCTGTACGACGCAGTAGTCGCGCGCTACTCCTCCCCTGCCACAGCTGCTATAGGCCGTCTCTCACTGCCCTACCTCTTCCCCGACCTGTCCGCCTTTGCCACTGTAGCTGACCTCATCACCCACCTCCGTACCAGTGACCTCCGCTACCGTGCCGCACTCCCCCCCGATTTCCTCGCCAAGAACCCCCCGCCTCCCTGACTCCCTTCGCACAGTCAGGGACCAGTTCCTCGCCCTCTCTCCCACTGACCTCACTGTCGACCTCCTCGAGAAGGAGCTCCTAGCAGCTGAGAAGAGCATTGTAGCTGTAGGAGCCTCTCGTGGTGACCCCCGCACCCCCTTCTTTGAGGGGTGCTCCCCCTCCCCCCTCCTCCCCTCCATTGCATCTGCTGCTGCTGTCGACTACCTCGGAGCTGAGGGGGTCGGGGCCGCGTCTGCTCCTAGTGGGAGACGCAAGGGCGGCAGGGGCAAAGGGGGCAGGGGTGGTGGAGGTGGAGGTGGGGGCAGCGGCGGTGGAGGAGGTGGGGGGGGCGGGGGTGGTGGCGGGAGTGTGAGTGGCGCGGGTGGTGGGGGGGTCAGTGGCGGCACAGGGGGTGGTGGCGGCGGCGGCGGTGGCGGGGGTGGTGGAGGTGGTGGTGGCAGTGGTGGCGGCGGTGGAGCGGGTGGCGGGCGCGGTGGAGCGGTGCAGCATGGGGGGTTTGGCGGTGGCCAGAGGCAGCAGCAGCAGCGCCCCGGCGAGACTCCCTCGCCCCAGCAGCTCCGTGAGTGGTACTCTCAGCGTGGGGGGTCTGGGGGAGGGGGTACCTGCCCGTATGTCATCCGCACAGGTGACCGCACTGGCCAGACTTGTGGGAGGTTTCACACGGCGCAGCGCTGTTTCTTTCGCCTTGACGACGCCTGGCGCGAGCAGTTTCCTGACGCCTCTGAGCTGCCCCGCTGGGCTGATCTGCTTAAGAAGGGGATTGATATCTTTGCTCTTGATTATGAAGCTATTCTTGCTGCTATGTATGCATTGACTATTAGTGCTGAGGGTGACTGTTACCTGAGTGTACCGCCCGACCCGGGCATTGGGATCAGTGAGGCTGCAGCTCTAGGTGCTAGCGCGTCAGCTGCTCTAGGTCCTGGTGAGGCTGCTGCCCTAGGTGCTAGTGCGTCTACGTCTGCTGGTGCCACACCTCCTGAGGCACTGCACACCTTCACACTGGACTCAGGTGCTTCCCGCTGTTTCTTCCACGACCGCACTGCCCTAGAGCAGCTTCCTCGACCGGTTGCTGTCTCCCTGGCTGACCCCTCAGGGGGTCCGGTCCTTGCGACCTCCACCACTGCCCTCCCTTGTCCTGCTGTCCCGTCTGGCACGCTGTCGGGCCTCTACCTCCCCTCGTTCTCTACGAACTTGGTGGCAGGTTCTGCGCTCCAGGACGCGGGTGTTCACCAGTTCGCCCCGGCCTACGAGCGTGTGATGCACTGCACGTGTGCGCGGACGGGTCGTCACCTGGCTACCTTCACTCGGCAGCCGGGGTCGGACTTGTACACACTGACCACTGAGTCTC